CTTCAAAATTTGGAAAGTTTCGAATCTATGTACCTATAGATGTAAACATGCCTCGTGATAGACCCTTAAGCAAGATCGAAACGCGTCGTGTGATGCTTTCAATCTCAAAAATCTTTCATAATAAACTTGAGTGAGTTCTGACTTGCATGTAACTATGAAATTCTAAACATACCTGACGAGGACCCTTAAGCAAGGTCGAAACCGGTCGTGTGAGGCTTTGAATTTTGAGTCTTTATCTTCAAACTTTAAACGATGTTATTTAGAAGAAACTTCATCAATTTCAAACTGATTTTTGACATAAACACCATGACTTGTAGGTCAGTTACGAATTCGATTGAGTTAATGCAGTCATCTGTACTATATCCTATGCATGGAATGAATATATGCTTCAATCGGACACGAAAATATGTGGTATTTCTTAGATGAACAATTTAAAAGTATTTGAACATGTCACCAATTTGTTGCTATTTTTTTATGTCTTAAATACGAAAATTTGAATATTATTTTCAAAATATTAAATTATTAACATTATATAAAGAAACAACTTTCAATAAACAACTTAATTTAATGTGCAACCGGGAGAAAAATTCTTAGAATCTCTTCAAATGATTGTCAACTTATCTAATTTCAAACACTTAGATGGCAAATAGATATGTAATATTGTATCACCAACTACATTATTAGAGATTCCTTATTAATGATGAACCATGCCAATATTTCAATGAAATGATTAAGATATTGGACATCAAGAGTTATTCTGATGATTGTTCCATTAAGCCTGATGAATTGAACGAGTTTTGTAAAATATTTGTATAATATTCATTTATGATTTATATCATTATAGATAAAATCCTATTATGTGTCTAGTATTTAGTTTAAATTATTAAAAAAAAATCATACCATCGTTACCAACATTTACAATCTATTGTATTGTTTTCATTCTATGACTTTCTCTCCTATGCTAAATTATGCAGTTAAATTTGGACATGTCTTAAGGACATTTTTTGTTAAAAAATGGGATATCGTAAAGAGCTAGTGGATGAAAATATAGCTGTTTCAATAGCTTTTGTAACATTGTTGTACATCTTTTCTTTAAAAATATTCTGATCAACACGGGAGTGGATGCAAACAAAAGATACGGAATACTATCGCAGAGAAGCGCCTACGTTAGCTCAAGAATTTTCTCACTTGAAAAAGAAATGCACAATACAATCCAAAGAGCTTTCTCTCTCTCTCTTCTCTCTAATATAATATTAAATTTTGTTTCAATAGTTACTCATCCGTTTCTCTTTAGAATCATTATTGACCCTAATATAAAACAATTTGACTATAATATTATTAATGTGAATTAAAAATGATCCGTCGTTTTAAGTCATATTAATAATAATGTTTTGTATATTCAAACAATATTCCATGATTTTGAAGAATTATCTTTAACAGGTCTGCTTACCTTTAGTTAGAAATTTTTTTTTTCAGACTTTATTCCTTCGAATTCAAAAATAGAAACTGTATACTTCATCTTTTATGCGATATATATGAAAATTTAAATATAAAGTTTCTTAGACTCTACTTTTGTTTTCTTTAATTCATTGTAATCGCTGCGTCAGTATTTTAAAATACTGACTTGCTACAAGGAAAGTATTCCCTAGTGGTAGTAGACGTTCTTTCGGCCCGTTGAGCGATTACTCTCTTCTGTCTCTTTTCCCCTAGGGTGGAAATTTCCTTGATTCAATGTGGCATTATTATTAGTATGATAATGGACAATGGATCTATAGATTGACATAGATATGCGCAAGCTTACTATGGCTGCCTATAGCGGCTATACCACTGGACAGATCACAATCAAGGTCTTAGTGGGCTGAGCTTTTTCATCGTTTCAGTAGAGAAAAGGAATAAAGGGAGTACTTTTTCAACGTAAACAAAAATTACTTAAGATGTAGTTTAAGCTTTTCAGTTTTTTTTGTGTGTGATCTGTCTTTAATTTTGTTTTTATATATTGTTCAATGTAATTTCATGTTTGTTTTACATGTTTGACAATCGTAACATTCTATTTGAAATAAAGTTGAAAACTTTTATGTATCTTTTTATTCACATTTCTCTATCATTTAATATATAACAATAATCATCATTATCATTCTATTATAGATAAATAAATCTGTATTGCTGAAGAGTACTATCTTGTAAAAGATACGAAACGCGTCGGCGAAAATAATTTGCATTTCTTTTTAATTATTTTAATTCAAGCACATTTATATATTATCCTATTTAGTTTTACGACAAAAAATCGATTGCTGAAAAGCAAGAGTTGAGACTAGCAGATTGATTTGTATTTATAGAAATATAGGTCGACCTGTTTTCCAATGTATTCATCAATACAGGTCGATTCTGTTAAATAAGAATTACATTAATATATGAATTATCGAAAAGTCAAAATCTGAAAAACTGATTTGACGAATAATTCTCAACTTATCCCAACGATTAACTCTGATCATGTATGAGTCACCAAGTAGTGATGAAAAATACACATACACTAGAAAATATTACACTATATGAAACTGCCGCGGTAGCTCAATTGGTAGAGCAGCCGACCGGTAATCAGAAGATGCGAGGTTCGTCTCGCTCGTGACACTAACATAAAAATAGTGTACTTGTGTTGTATTGTATGTCTATTGAGCGCCCACACTTGTGTGGCCTCATTATCGGATAATCGGTTGCTGAAAAGCAAAAGTTGAGACCAGCAGATTGATTTGTATTCATCAATACAGGTCGATTCTGTTAAATAAGAATTACACCCACACCCACACCTACTCTCATACGGCTAATCACTAATGGATAAATCTTTAATTCATCAAAAGACCATTTCCGAAGTAACTCGACGAGCTCGATCTAATGGCGTGCTCCAAATCGTTGTAACTCAAACCGTTACTAAAATCATGCTTTTCTAAATCAGAAGTAGCATCCCCAAAGAATAACTAGCTGAAGGTTCCATCATTTCTCATATCAGTTTCCACCTGCTTTGCTTCGGATCTTTGATTTTTAAATCGAAATGTACTTTAATTCCAAAAGAAAGTATTCATCACTTAGAAGAATTCATTCTTTTAATGCTTCTCTAGAAAACGTAAAAGAAAGAGATCTTATTTCGATGGATTACCATCTGTGCCGTTCCGAAAGAGAATGAACTAGGACGGATTTTATTGGTTTAAGAATGGTTCGGAATGCTTTCCCTTCCAATAGAGAACAATTTCTCAATAGAAAAGAAAGCATTCCGTCTTACTGTGGAACGGCAAAGAGCGAGTTCCTTCGGACTGAGAGTGCTTCTTCTTGAACATGAACGCATTCACTAGCAAAAGGAACGCATTCTTTACATAGAAAAAAGGTTTCCATATTTTTATGAAACCATTCTGTTCCGTTTTTTTTTCAAAATATTTTTCACTGGGTATACCCATTTATTGTTCCATATATATCATATCCTCTCTAATTAGTCTTCAGACAAAAAAAAAAGATTTATTAATCACTTGTACACACCAAACTGATACGTATATCATGGTTCGTCCAACAAAAACGAAATTATTAAAATCGATCTGTAAACAGGCCGAATTAACTCATGCTCGTTTTCGTGGTTCATCATCGACAAATAAAATTAATCAAACAGATAAAAATTTATCATTTATAATTAAAACTGGAGAAAAATTTCGAAAAAAACTAGCACAATTAAGTGTCGGAACAAGGCTATCGTCAATTAAAAAAGTATGTATTAATGAAAAAAAAAAAAACTATATCTGAGAATTCTTTTTTTACAAAAAAAAACAGGAATGGATTATTGTCAAACAAGTTGAACTATCGAAACTACGTGAACAATGTTTATGTGGACGACCAAATTTAAAATTTGTTGCATACTTAAAAAATACAGTAAGTAACAAGGAAATCACAGCAGGCAATTGCTGCTTATTAACATTTAAACGATAAACGTACACTCTAAAAAAAATCGGTTTTTTACCGAACCCCCAAAAAAGGTTCCGGAGATGTCTAAAAGCATCCAAAGATGTCCAAAGTCTCAAAAAAAAAGGATAAAAAAATCTACGAAACCTTTAAAGGTTCTTACCGTGTACCGAGGATAAGAACCTTTTGCTGCGAAACCTTTTTTTAAGTTCCGTACAGCAGAAAAAGGTTTCGTAGGAAAATACGAAACC